TTGCCTACTTACAGTATGTACTCATTTTGATAAATCACATTTTACTCTGTGATAAGTTACCCATAAACCATGATAAAAGTGAGGAAAATTTAGCACAGTGGCTTTGTGATTAGTATTTCTGCCTTGCAGCACTGGGAGTCACTGGTTCAAATCCCGGTCAGAACACTATCTCTAAGGAGTTTGCATGTTCTCCCTGTGCTTGCGTGGGTTTCCTCCAAAGACATGCTGGAAGGTTAATTGGCCCTCTATGTGTGTACGATAGGGACCATAATTGGCCCTCTATGTGTGTACAATGGGGACTCTCGAAATTGGCCCTCTATGTGTGTACAATAGGGACCATAGATTGTAATACAAAACACAGAAGTTTCCAGCACACTTACTGGCTAGCCTACAACAAAACAAATTGCCCTGTCTAACAGTATGCTTTAAAAACAGAGGTTTTAGTTGCACGTCCTTTTGCAAAAAATATGTGGAAGCCTCACTGCCTCGTCAAGGCTCCTGTGTGTAGTGTGGCCCTAAAGCTAACTTTTGTGAGTTTCCATATTGGAGCATATTTAAGAAGTTGATAAATTGAAGGCAGGTATGCTTGGAGGGAGCCCACTTCACCTTAAAGCCCCGTTCACATTGAGCGATTTATCGCGCGGTAATTCCCGCGATATCGCGCTCCAATGCATTTCAATGGGGCAAAGGGTCCTGATGTCGCGGGTCGTGTGTCGCTACAGCAGGACCCTTTTTGGAGCGGATTTAGTCGCGATTCAAGCTTGCTCAATGCAAGCTTGAACGAGATATCGCGCAGCAAATCTCGCGATATCGCGCAATATGCAAATCGCGCGACAAACGCGCGATTTGCATATCGCGCAGTGGGAACGGGGCCTAAAGGCACAAGGTTGTACTGGAGGCCCAGCAATCCAAAATGCATGCTGGGGCCCCAAAAGCAAATACATCCAACCTTAGATTGTAAGCTCCTCCAGGGCAGGGACAGATGTGAATGTGCTTCTTAAGTTGTTGGTGCTATACAAATACCTGTAATAAATATCAAAGCAATATGTGTCTTTTTAAAAATATGCCTCACTGTTTGAAATTAAATGTTTCCAGTTTAGCTATATTATCCATTCTTTGTAATTTCACCCTCTAAAGTTAAAAGAAGAAAGGAAAAAAAGCCTGACGCTTCAACACTTCATCATTTTCTAAGCAAACGCCATGTGACAATATTTCTATTTGGTTCTCACTGATGGCTGAACAATGGTGTCATTTGCTGCCCTCTGCTGGTAATAGACAGTATTGAATTGTTTTCTGTTTTTTATTGGTTACACAGCTGAATATACTGTATATCTTATGGTGAATGACTGAAATTTAACGGCATAAATTTATGGGAATACATATCCAGTCATATGTAGGTGAAATTAACTGTGATTAGTATTTCACATTTGTAACTCATAGAAGTCAGGTACTGTGTGTTTAATTTTTTGAAATTCCCGCGATATCGCGCTCCAATGCATTTCAATGGGGCAAAGGGTCCTGATGTCGCGGGTCGTGTGTCGCTACAGCAGGACCCTTTTTGGAGCGGATTTAGTCGCGATTCAAGCTTGCTCAATGCAAGCTTGAACGAGATATCGCGCAGCAAATCTCGCGATATCGCGCAATATGCAAATCGCGCGACAAACGCGCGATTTGCATATCGCGCAGTGGGAACGGGGCCTAAAGGCACAAGGTTGTACTGGAGGCCCAGCAATCCAAAATGCATGCTGGGGCCCCAAAAGCAAATACATCCAACCTTAGATTGTAAGCTCCTCCAGGGCAGGGACAGATGTGAATGTGCTTCTTAAGTTGTTGGTGCTATACAAATACCTGTAATAAATATCAAAGCAATATGTGTCTTTTTAAAAATATGCCTCACTGTTTGAAATTAAATGTTTCCAGTTTAGCTATATTATCCATTCTTTGTAATTTCACCCTCTAAAGTTAAAAGAAGAAAGGAAAAAAAGCCTGACGCTTCAACACTTCATCATTTTCTAAGCAAACGCCATGTGACAATATTTCTATTTGGTTCTCACTGATGGCTGAACAATGGTGTCATTTGCTGCCCTCTGCTGGTAATAGACAGTATTGAATTGTTTTCTGTTTTTTATTGGTTACACAGCTGAATATACTGTATATCTTATGGTGAATGACTGAAATTTAACGGCATAAATTTATGGGAATACATATCCAGTCATATGTAGGTGAAATTAACTGTGATTAGTATTTCACATTTGTAACTCATAGAAGTCAGGTACTGTGTGTTTAATTTTTTGATCAAGCAAGTCAATAAGGACTTGTGACAATTTTTTGGTCTTGATAGTGGCAAGGCTAAGGCTAGGGCTGCTCTGGTGATTTTCTGTCTCTTAACTAAACAACTACAATCTTATGAGAATGTTCTATTTGTCTAAGATTGTTGTGAAGAGATTTTACCAGCACACCAATATGACAAACAAGTCAAAGTTCAGTGAACCTTCATTTTTATTTTTAGAAGTCACTTAAAGTAGTGTCAAGCGCTTTCGGGGCCGCGCAGGGTCCCCTTCATCAGGCTTAAAGTGAACATGATGAAGGGGACCCTGCGCGGCCTGAAAGCGTTTGACACTACTTTAAGTGACTTCTAAAAATAAAAATGAAGGTTCACTGAACTTTGACTTGTTTATCATATTGGTGTGCTGGTGACATCTCTTCACAACAATCTTTGCCTAAACGCGGCGCCATCCGCGGTCATTGCGAGCACCCATTTACTTCATGGGAAGTCCGGTAAGGTGTGCTACAGGTGTTCTGATATTTGTTCTATTTGTCTGTCACCTTACTTTCAGTGTTGGCAGCTATAGAAGACATTTGCAGTTGCATGATTATGTGATCAATTTGCAATTATATCAATCAATCCCCTATTATCGCTTAATATCACAGTTTATATGAATCCTTTATATTTCCAAAAATAGGTGCTGACCTGAATTGAGGGCAGGCCAAAACAGCAAATTTCAGTACTAGGACCTAATACTGGTACCCTTTGATGCAGGAAGCATTGGTCTTCAGCACAGAGCATCCTAAAGGTGCCCATACACCTGCCGATTATCGTACGATAATCGCGGGTGATCCCGCGATCGTACGATAATTGGCAGGTGTATGGGCAGCGTGTGACTGCTTCTACTGTAAGGTCGCACGACTTTCCTCTTCCGAGCACACTGGAAAACCTGCCGAAAATTGTACGATTTTCGGCGGGTTGGTGGTGTGCTCGGAAGATAAATGCCGCACGGGCCAGTGTGCGCAAGCGCACACTGCCCGCTCACCATTGGAATCATCGGAAGCCCTCCCCTCAGCGGGGAGGACTTGCGATGATCGCAAGTACGATCTGCCTGTCCAAGATGGGCAGATCGTCCGAAATTTGAATCACCTTAAAAACCCTTTGTAATCTCTATGTCTCCAAGCTGGGAGTCCAAACTCTTTGTAATCTCCATGTCTTCTAGTTGGAAGTCCAAACCCTTTGTAATCTCCATGTCTCCAAGTTGGGAGTCCAAACCCTCCGTAATCTCCATGTCTCTGAGTCAGAAATCCAAACCCTTTGTAAACTCAATGGTAATACATAAGGTTTATCAATTTCTCTACCTCTGCATGTGACTGTGTTCAGGGGTGGAGGTTGTCTGCTTAGAGCAGTACTCTCTTCCGTATACCCAGGAGGACCTGGCATATATGAAGGGATCAGTGAAAATGAGAATCTGTGGGTGAGTGGGAGGTTTTTTCTTTTTAGAAGAGAACCTGTTTCTTTGTCACGAATAGCCAAAGTGACATATTCTCCTTAAGGGGTTATCCCAGAATTATTAAATATTTAAAATCTGCTCTGTTACCCATTCAGAAAAATTAGGATACATACTGCCAACTTTGTCAATTACAGCAATGTTAATTAAAATCTGGTAGAACTTGATAAATACTGCATTATCATGGCTGGGGAGGCTGGGAGGGTGCAATTAGAACATTTGAGCCGCACAAAATCTAGATTTACCTCTTTATTTAAAGTACTGTATATGTAAATTCAATCATCAAAATCTCATATAACATGTTAAAGTCATTTTCAATCGTTTCAAATGTGCATTTTGTGTTAAAACAATCATCCGGCAATGCAATGTTCAGACACTCCCTGGCATAGTGTGACAAGGCTCTGTCCATGTGTCCCAATTGTGCTCCTGTGTCGTCAACATATTCTTGGAGTTCAGCTGTAAACTTCATTCAGTGGTGTAGGGGCACTCCAGTAGGCAGAGCCTTAAAAATAAAGTGAAATTAAGAATAGTTTTTTACGTTTTTGATTTTTTTCCCAGAGTTTTGATGGTTGGGAGGTATGGCTTAAAATCAAGAAAAGAGGAAAGTAAGATGAGAAGAACAAGAGCAGTTTTCTGCCTGTGGATAATGGTAGTGCCAAGCTCTGCACATTCTCACCCCCCGAAAGCCTTAGACACAGAGAAGTGTGAATGCAAACAAGCAATTAAACTTACATATCAGGAAGGGTCAGTGTTTGAGTTACAGGCAGGGTTAGTTTTAAGTTTTAGTTCAGATTTAAGGGAACAACACAATACCTAATAGTAGTAAACAATGTTAATTGCTTACTGTATTTACTTCGGTTTGTTGTACCAATACATGCTTACTCTTAATTAATTTACATTAAGTGTGTTGTCTATATTCATCTTCTTCTTATTAATATTATTATTATTATATCTTGATAAAAAAATATTTTAAAGGAAGTTATTCTCTGTCATACTTATATGGCAGTTTCCCTCTTTTAGTCCGATCTTAGTCTTTGATGTTTCTTTTAAATTCAAGTTGCATTTCTTTATTGTTCTAGAGACAATTGCATCGTAAATAATACCTGGTTCTTAGGTTGACATGTGCAATATGTTTCCATAGTGTTTTCTGCCTGTTATTATACAAACAGTGGTGACCAAACGTCCCTCGCTGCCAAACTTGGTCTAAATAAATCATTTTCGGGCATGCCGAAAAGGGGTGAGAAAAGGTAGACCTGTTGAGTGCCACAATTCTTTAGATTTTTTCAATTGCACTAGGCTGGGACAAACTAGGTCTAAAATATATTTCTCAACAAATTTAAATGTATATATAGCCACATATTTTTATTTTTAGCTTTAGATTGGGAAGGGTAAAATTAGAGTCCCTGTCAGTTTTTTTTTGCTGTCTCTATCCCGGTTAGGAAGATTCACACTCTCTATTTGACCTAGTGGCCATTGTTGCACTCCTGTTCCTCATTGTTTCAGGAGTCAGGCACCCTAACTTTGCATCAGAGATCCAGTATCCCAATTCTGCTCCAGAAGTCTGGCATCTCAACTCTGCCACAGAACTTTGGCATTTCAATTCTGCTCCAGAGGTCTGGCAGACTGGCACCCTAACTCTGCTCCAGAGATCTGGCACCCTGACTGTTTTCCAGAGGTCTGACACCCAGACTCAGCTCCAGAGGTCCAGCTCCCTGACTCTTCTCCATAGGTCCAGTACCCCAACTCTGCTCCATAGGTTCGGCACCCTGACTGTGCTCCACAATTTCAGTACCCCAAATCTGCTCAATAGGTCGGGCACCCTGACTGTGCTCCAGAAGTCTAGTACCATGACTTTCTCCAGAGGTCTGGCACCTGACTGTGCTCCACAGGTGCAGCATTCTGATTCTGCTCCAGAGGTGCGGCACCCTGATTCTGCTCCAGACGTCCGGCATCGTAATTCTGCTGTAAAGGTTTGGCACCTTGACACCAAGCCTCCAGGCTTGAAGGTAATTCACTGTGGGCAGTCTCTTCTGAAACCTTGTCTATACTATGAGACTTTGCTCTGCCAATCAGGCACTTCACTAATATGTATGTTAATATATAATTAATGTTTTAAGTAAATATAAATTATTCTGTTATTTTGATGTAGTCTTCTATCCAGACAGCAGATGGAGCTGTAATCCTCTTTTCCCATCAATTGCATGATTACATTTTAGCTGTGCTAAAAGTCTGCTGTTTACAGAACTGTGATAAGTCGCCAAAGCAGGAAGTCCAGGTTTTCAGATAAATGGAGCCTCAAAGCAGGCAGCATCTGCCAAGCTGTGTCTTCAGCTAACCCACAGTGCAGTGGGAACCCTTTGTTATGTATTGTTTGTTTGTGAAATAAAGATTTTGGTGTATCAGAGACGATATCAAAATAGAGGAAAAATCTAAGTAAGAAGAGTAGTGATGCAGAAAAAGTAAAAGAGTGAAAGGGTGTGAGAGGCCAGGGAAATTAAATGAACAGGGTGGAGTGCTGTCCTGCATAGAAGACCCACCAGATATTGTGAATGCAAGAAAGGCTGTTAAGTTTGGATTTGAGGCTGCATCTGCACTTTTCAAGTACAAAGAAATATAAAGTGTCTATCCTTCAGGTTGGATAACCTTTCATGAAAGCACATCTGTCACAAGAAATATATGGGGGCTAGCATCGCTAGCTGCATTCTGAAATTGACAATTGCCTATGCTTTGTTTACAAGCAATACTGATCGGACCCTGGGAAAATATTTTCTTGCCCCCCCCCCCAGGAATTTCTCTCACCTCCCCAACACCCAGAAAAAAAAAACAGCACACATAGATCATAGATTCCTCTCAAAAAAACTTTGACTGCAGGATTGCAAATCAATTGCAAGCTCAGCCGTTTATATTAGGGATGCACCGATATAGTAGGGTCTCACCGGGGCTATGTGGGGTCTCACCAGCCTGCTTAACCCATCAGAGCCCTGGTGAGACCCCACAGAGCCCTGGTTAAACTAGGGCTCTGTGGTGTCTCACCAGGGCTCTGTGGGGTCTCACCAGTCCTGGTAAACCCCACAGAGCCCTGGTGAGAACATACAAAGCCCTGCCCCTGAGGAAAAAAAACCCTTCCTGCATGTGGGCAGGAAGGTACCAAAACATCACATTGGATGGGGGGTTTGGGACGTACCAACTGTTCTGTACGGAACAGTTGGTACGTCCCAACCCATCTAACGTGATGTTTTGGTACCTTCCTGCCCACGTGCGGGAAGGTCTTTTTTTCCTGTGCTGATTCTACCGTACGACCGCGGCGGTACGGACACCTTGCCGATCCCTGCGCTACGCGGGCGATCCAATCAGCAAGTTTCTGCTGGCAGCAGGCTCAAGGGGCAGCTGCTTTGGGCCCCACAGCCATAAATGGGCCCGGGGCAAGCGCCCTCTTTGCCCCGTGTTAAAGACGGCCCTGTTTGTTTAGCATCAATACCTATCTGTTACAGACCCAGAACAAGCATCCGGCAAACAAGCAGTGACTCCAAAAGCATTTGAAGAAGGAGAGGCCAGCAGTGGGTGATTTACATATCTTGCTCATACCAGGTTTCTTTGAAAGGAGTTATAAAGTTCCAGCATATACTATCCGGTTATAACATCTGCCTTCGGTCTGCCCATCACTGTCTACAACTTCCTGGATCCCCAGTGTGCTTTGCATCTCTTTCACTGCTGCTTAATGTAATGCAATCTCGATTTCTCAAGACAACGTATCCCACCATGCATTGCTTCCAGCAGACAATGACAATATTACATTGTTCAGATTCTGAGCTGTAGTTTTTGACCATAGATACCCATTAACTATAAACCAGTCAATCCTAGGTTTCACTACATAAAGGGACAAAAGCACCGAATCTACCTAAATGACCTGTGCATTGTGGGAACATGATGGACACTTTTCCCTAATCATCTATTCTCTAGTGTTATCAAATGATGGTTGCATATAAGCATACTGTAGTTTACTCCACATTGTCTCATTGGGTGATTTTGGTTTTATCTATAATGCCTCATGTACAGTACAAGTGGGTGGAAACTAAGTTGCTGTCATGATAAGCCACTGTCCTACTATTCTACATTAGCTATTGCCCCTCAGTAGAGTCTCCTCACCACCTCCCTTATGTACACACCAAAACCATTCTTGTCTTCAGTAATGTCCAGCCAAGGGCAATGTTCAGGTCACCATGGATAGTTACAGCTACAATTTAGGGATAATTACATATTCTGAGCTCTCTCTTAGCAATGTTCACTGACAACAGTTGGAACAAATGTTTGAAACTCCCTGATGCTATTTTAAAAAAGCATGCTAATTCAGGCATCAGTTTTCAAGCGGTCACCAGACACATCTTATTTTAAAACAAGTTTGTTAACTTCTGCATCATCCTCCAAGTTTCTTACTATATCACCTCCCATTGTGTAGTTTGTGTACATGAAAGGATGCATGGGAAGGGGAGAATACAAGAGCCACACTCTCATTGAAATGACTTCTTACATCGTTTTCTTGCTGCTCATATTAATCCGACTGAGTAAGTAATTTGATATAAACTTACCTATCTTGTGGCGTAAATTGGAAGTCTACTCTAGTGCATGTATGTAATATACATTGCAATGCTATGTTGGCATCCATTTCTGTATAACCTGTATAACCTTTCTACTCCTACTGACAAATGTGTTAATTTAACAATGATGCTCTATTTATTATATCATAGTATTGCTAGTCCTTGTATGCTTTAATAGATTGTGCAATGCTAGTTATATCTGTAAAAAATAAGTCAAGGCAACTGGACTTGCTGTATTTTTCTTGAAGACGTTTCACTGATCATCCAACCAGCTTTCTCAATTCAGAATGACTCAGGGAATAAATATGGTGAATGTTGCTCCAATCCATATAATCTGTTAGTCGCAACCAGGTGTTGATTGCGGTTGCATAATTGAAGTTAAGAGGTGTTAATAACCTGCCCAAAGAGAGGTGTTAAAACAACATTGTGTGTGGCAGACAATAGATGTCTCACCCCCCACCTCTATTCAAGCTCAGCTTCTCCATTTTTACATAAATGGCTTCTTTCACACTTCTTTTAAAGTAGTCCTCCTCCCTGTCTAGGATGCGTACTTGACTGTCTTCAAAGGAGTGACCTTTTTCCTTTAGATGTAGTTATACTGCTTAATCATGGCCAGAGGGTTTTGCTCTTCTATGCTGTGCCATACGCTGGTGTAGCTGCTGTTTTGTTTCACCGACATACAATTCTGAGCGCTCCTCACTGCACTGGACTGCATACACAATGTTGTTCATCTTGTGTTTTGCCGTTGGGTCTTTTGGGTGAACCAGTTTTTGCACCCAAAAGACCCTAGTTGTATATACTGCTATTTATTTTAATATTTATTCTCTTTAAAGTCTTCAGGTTGTTAACATGCTTCTTCAGAGTCCTTTTCCTCTTCGCCTCTTTCCAGGGCCAGGCAACCACCAGTAAAGCAGAGAATTTAAATAGATCGGTATCACCATTTGCCCCATTACACAGTGAATATGAGGTGCTGCATCCATGATGCCCTGCACTCACAACATGATCTCAGCCTTAGTAAGTAGTAGTAGTGGTTTTTGCCTCCAGGGAGACATGTTACAACAACAGTGATGCAATGAGCCCTTACTGGCTTATTCACTGCACTCTGATTACCACCGAGTTATAATGGAAAACATTTAGCATAGTTCAGGGTAAAGGATCTTAGAACACATTAAAGGACTTGTGATATCAGTGGATTCCAAGTCCCACATAGGTTCAGCTTCACTTCCTTAAAACTAGTAATGTATGCCAGGGGATAGGGGGTATCAGGCAGCAGCATCCACTTGAGGCACCTGATTTTGGTATCTAATTTTATGGCAGAGCCCACTGAAAGATATAATCCTGCTTAAGAAAAGATTCCTCAGAGTGAGCTATAACTATAGCCAGGCTTTCCAATATCCTCCATGAAGGTAACACACTAAAACTGTTAGATAATAAGCTCTATTCACTAAGCTATGTCTGTGTTTAGGGCCATTATATGACTGTCATTTCAACTTTAACAAAATGCAATCTCAATGTTAATGTCTGTGGTATCCTCAAGTCTATGGAATTGCAGGCGGTACTATCCTAATAAATAAATGACACAGACACCAAATATTTGGAACAAAAAATGGCCGCGGCACTTTTATTGGTTTAATTCTTCTTAAAACTTAATTTAATCAAAACCGTTACATCTTAAACCATCAAACCAAACGTAGATTGCTCAGTCACAAAACTCAAGCAATAACTAAACCATTCTAAACCATACTTAAAGTCCCCCTCCATAACAGAGGTGACACTACCACATAAAAGCCCCGCGACATGATGAATCAAGATTGCTGAATTTAACATATTCTATAAAATGCTATAAAGGGAGGGCGGGCGGGGAGCTTGCTGTGCTGAAAATCCAGCCGAGTGCCTCTTTGCCCTTGCGTGTTCCCTTTTATAGGCAGCCGTTAGAACCTTCCAGAACGGCACGAGCCATGGATTTTCCCGCCTCCCAACAGGTGCCTTAAAGGGGAACACACATTGCAAAGCCCTGGAATCTTCTAGAACCGGCACGAGCCAAGGGTTTTCCCGCTCAAACTCACAGGTGATTTTTATTTATTTTTTTAAAGGGGAATACACTTTATAATTGATATATAAATTTATTTTATATGTATAAGCATATTTTATTTTTTATTACATGAATTAACAGACCATTAACTCTCGTAACATGTTTACCACACAAAAATGAACTAAGACCGCCGCAATCCCATGAAAGTGGGAGCCCAAATAAATTGGGTCCCACTTGTACATTCTCAGGATCTCTTTTCTATACTTACAGGTGCATCTAATGGCAACTGTGGTTTCAATGATTTAGTACAATACCTGAGAAATGACACAACTGTCCCGAAATCTGATGTTCGACCTGTTCTAGACTGGAGAACTCCAACGTTAGTGAACATTGATCTGGCCCTGTACTCAATCATCAGCTTAGTAAGTAATAATATTATGATTGCAGTTTAACTTTTTAGTATCTTTCTAAGTTTGCAAGCATTAAAGCACGCTGGACTTCCCTTCAGTTTTAGATTTTCTTTTGTAATATATATATATA